AACCAAATCGATCATACAGTGGCTGTGTATTACATTTATTGCATCAAAAATATAAAAAGCACCATTTCCATTTGTTTGCTTCATTTGGCATCTCTTGTTTTGAGTACTGAAAAATAATCAGAAAAATGAAGACAGTTAGATCAGTATGAAGATTTTATAAAACTTTCTGATATTTACCAACGGAGCGCCAACAATAAATCCAAGAGCCCCAGCACTAGCCAAAAGAATGAATAACCTGAAAAAGAACCTTTTCCCACTAGGTATATGTTTCTTTTTAGGTTCTTCAGTGGGGTTCAACTTTGAAGGATCAGATGACTCAACACCAGGATTCACAGCAGCCGCAAGACCTACTGATACATTGTTATCATCTGAATTTTCTTTTTTTTCAACAACAGTTTCAGAGTGTGTTGTAGTGCTACTATTTTTATTCTCATTATCACCAGCACTACTGTAAGCATTCGATTCAGTAGCAGTAGTATAAGCATTCATTCCAGCATCAGTACTACTACTGTAAGCATTTGCTCCAGCACCAGTGTTATAAGTATTCGTTCCAAATCCGGTATAAGCATTCGTACCACTATCAGGGGTATAAGTATTCCCATCAGTGTTGTAAGTATTCGTTCCGCCATATGCATTAAAGTTATTACCAGTATTACCATAAGTATTAGTACCAGTATTACTATAAGCATTCACACCATATGGATTTGTTGAATCGTAAGTGTTAAAATTTTGATTTTGAAATGGATTGTAGTTAGGATTATATACATTTGCACCTTGATTATAATTTGGATCATAAGTATTCGCAATACCACTACCACTTGGCATCTGTGAATGACCATATGGATTATTATCATATTGTTGATGTTGTTGAGGTTGTTGATATTGTGGATTATATTGCTCATATGGCGGATTATAAGGTAATTGAGGTGGATTCGCCCAAACATTATGAGGAGGATACATATGTGTATCTTGAGGCTCCTGAGGATGCTGCTGTGTGTCCTGAGCACTTTGAGGAGGATACAATTGTGTATTTTGAGGATTTTCATTTTTTTGAGAACCATCAACGGTAGAAAGATTTATATCTTGATTTTGGCCCGCCATTTATTAACAGTAATTTTAATAAAAATGTCTATATTTATTATTTATATGATAGCAGTGCGTATCTATCGTTAACTATTATCACAAACTATCTATCGTTAACTATTATCACAAACTATCTATCGTTAACTATTATCACAAACTATTTTACGAATATTTTTAGAACATGCCAAGCGAGTTTAAACCAAAACAAATGGAAATGGTGCTTTTTATATTTTTGATGCAATAAATGTAATACACAGCCACTGTATGATCGATTTGGTT